CAAGATGATAATCAACAATAATCATTGAATAATTATTGTTGATTATCATCTTTGTGACGACTCTCCACACCAGTGAATAAATTTAATGAGATGTCTAGTAAAAAAATAGAAAAATAGCCTTACAAGCAAGGCGACACAAGCAGCTTTGATTGTAAGAACAAATCATTGTTTTGACGACAATATGCTTCCATACTACCTGTGGGAAATTAAAAATCCAAAGAATCCATAAAGAATTGTTGCTTGAAGAGTGAGCAAAAGTTGAACTATATAGTTAAAAGAAAAATCATCACGAAAATCAACAGAGATCACCTTCATAATAACATTGACCCACAAAATAAAAATCAAAAGAATCCATAAAGTACTGTTATCTGTAGAGTTCCAAAAGACAAACCGTTCACAAGATTACAAGGATGGTAGGATGTGCTATCAAACCCCCGAACAAACTGGAATGATTTCAAAAGGGCATAAGTTGGATGAAGGGATCATTTCACATCATGATGCTTGAGGAATCATCTCTATTGCTGAAGCTGTGACAGTTAATCCAGGAACCTAAGTAGAAAAAAAGATGGCAGCACCACTCCATAAGTGGCAAGGACCAGATGGCATATTTAGAAAACTCGTGCAATTGCGATAACGTAAATCTATTGTTCGCCTGTTATCAAACGATAGTGATCGAACAATAGATCTGCTGATCGCAATGGTGCCAGGGTTGCCAATTTCTTTCCCCCACTTTTTTAATGCAACTTTCAGGGATTGGAACAAATCGAATTCAGTTCCTTCTTACAAATGAGACATGTCAGCAGAGTTGCCGCTTGACAAACATGGGATAGAATAGTCAATGTGTTACTGGAATTTTTCACATGTCGAAAGAATAGTCTATAAGAAATTGTTACGACTGGTGGAAAAATTAGCCAGGGTTTAAAAAAAGTATCTTTATCTACAACAACCAAACCAAAACAAAGCGATAGCATAGTGAGAGTTTCTGGATCGATCAATTGCAAACAGTTGCAACCAATTGAATGGACTAAATTTTGCTATTTTGTCGGCACTTCCATTTACCCACGTGCAGTGAAGGAAATAACAAAGTATGGTAGTTGAAATATATTGAACAAGGTCCAGCTGCCTTTAGGGACTTTAAAGTTAGTTTAAGGTTGAGAAATTCATCCCTGTGGCCAAAGTAGTTAGATTTGTAAACAATGATAATGCTAACACTACCGTTTACTTTCAACCTTTTGCAGATGTATATATAGCTGCAGCTGTCTACACTGTATAGACAAGATGTGTTACTATGTGTTAATCACATTTGCACATGCATAGAACAACATATCCACACTAAACGGACATTCATCCTTTTAGTCCCAGAAATGGACATTTTCTAGCCAGCTAATTAATAAACAGCTCATTGTCATGTTTGAGCCTTCAAATTCATCTGATCCAGAGTTATTTCACCTTTAAAAGTTGTAATGATGAGTTGTCTTTTCTTGAGACTCCACTATATATTATATTGAAAAGACATATTTAGAAATAGAAAGTGAAACTTTTTGAAGGTATTATACATTTTTTGTGCAGTTCAAGTACTTTTGAAGACTATTTGTATAATATAGAAGACCCAAATCAAATCGAGGAAATGGCCATAGATGTCCTTTAAACCTTTTCCTTTTCAGATAGTGTAGTGTAAGGGACACACTTTTACAAATTTTTGACTTAATTTGAGTACCGTACTAACTTTCCCATCCTATGTAAAAAAAAATCTGACTGCTCCTATAATATGGTCTAATTTCATTTATTACCAGTAACTAAAAATATTTTAGGTGTGTTTTTTCATGTAGATATTTTTGTTATCTGTCTATACATGTATATTATATCTGACCAGATAACTGTACTTTACTGATCAATAAAAGTGTCTTGTTTGATGAATAATTAAATTTGAGGTTAACTAGATCTTTGTTGGGAGGTAATCAGGCGAGTGAGAATAACAACTGAACTAGACAGTGCTAATCGTGTCTATTCTTGTATAATATAGTAAATAAACATTGATTTTACTCACATAGCATGATCTTCATCTTATACCTTGACTGCAATATGTTTTAAGAAACGATTTCAAATTTTTAGTTAACGCTCTTTAACAATGTACAATTTTCAACTGATTAAGATGAAACTTGCTATTGTAATGATTAGAAATTAAGTTAGTGCCCTTGTCTCAGAAAAACAAAACCTTAATGGTCAATGTTACTGTGTCCAGTTCGGTGCATGGTGATACATATCTCCTGTATTCCATACTACTATTTTCTACTGTATTTATTGATAATCCTGCACAGAAAACTGCACTGATAACCACACCCTGTCTATTAACACCTAATCTTATAGTTAGCTTATTAATGATACTTTACTTTCCAAGAAAAGTTTCATATTGTCAAAGTTGATGTTAGTTCAATATAATTTGAATTTAATATAAATTTGTAATAAAAAGTTAAAATCAATGAATATGAATATATATTGAAATATTTTAACATTAGAATTCAATGAAAATATTATACCTATTTGACTGTAACCTTATTCTTTTATATCCAGCCATCCATTCTTATACTATTAAAAGTAGGCTTCTAATTACCAATAAGGTGTGGTTTTATTAAGAAAATATTTTAGGACACACCTGTCAATATCACTATTCTATTCCAAGCCTCTTCCTAGCCTAGATGTATTTGGTTGACTCTTTTTTATGCTTTACATAAGCCTGTAAAGCAAATTTGAGTCCATGGTGCTATAGGCTGTTCATTTCAAAAATCCCTGAATGTTGGGACAATGATAAATGATAAACATTTTCTTCTCTACAGGGGCCTGGTAGCTTAAATGTGGTGCTTAAAGCTGATGAACATTAAATTTCATTTTAGTTTTTTGTCATAATGGCTTCATACTGTTTTTAAAAAAAATGTGTGTTGTTGAGATCATTATCTGAAACAAACCCTGAGGAAATGAGGAAAATTATGATTTTCATAGAAATTTAAAAAAATGACTACTTACATAATCTTATGTCAAAATTTATCTATTGCTGATACTGCTTTATTATTTTTCATATCTTCCCCCTTAGGCAGTTAATACAGCTTAAATTGTTCAGTTATTTAAAAGACTAACATATGTTACAGGGATAAGAACATATTAAAGATACTTAAAGCCTGTGACGTGGACAAAATATATTTTTATTGTATGATATAAATTGTATAGGTGGCCATAGTGTATTCAATACAGAGACATAGTAGTGTCAAATCATTTTATACTAGGAGGCTCACTGTACACTGCTTGTTGTTTTCTCAGTCTATAGTTGATTAAAACTAAAAATGACATCTTTTGTAAATGGAAATGTAAATCATTCAAGGAAAGTTGCTCTTATAACTGGAATAACTGGTCAGGTAAAGAAAATGTTTTATTTATTGAAAAATTTTGGACAAATTGTGTCATTTTTTACCTTTTAAATCAGATTGACTTTCAAAAATTGCTTTAAATACTAATAGAGTGAGAATTCATCGATTCGTTTGCCTATAAATTAAGATAAAGTTAGAATTAAGATGAAAACAATATTCAGGTTGATATTAACACAGTCAGTCTGTCACAATATTACAGATCGTCTTCAAAACTGTGTAAGAAAATGTTTTGATAACAGCCCAAAATTGTTACCATTAAAGCAACAGATTTGCTATTTGTGTGTCCAATTCGTACCTAAGTCTCAGAAAACATGAACTTTTTACCTGAGCAAACGAGTAATAGTGATCACAGCTCACCTTTGGAATTATCTGTGTTAGAAAGTTAAAAAGACAACTCATCTTTTCTTGAGATTCTGTGATATAATAATAATAATAAATCTTTATTATCCCAAAGGGCAATTCATTTTACAACAAGGGAGAAAAAAAATAACAACCACAAACAAATGAAACACAAACATAAATACAAACAGTACAAAGAACATATATACAGTGATACGGTAATTGTTTATTGGAAAAAATGAAGTTTTCATCAGACCTGCATTTAGACTTAAACTTTCGAATACTCAAGGGTATAAAGGAATAAAGGGCTCTGTTGCTTTTTGCAGAAAGGGCTAGAAATCATTGACCAGAGGGTAGTGGGATGTAATTATCAGATATATAGAGAATACATATAGAAATAGAAAGTGAAATTACTAGTACTTTGAAGGAATTATGCGTATTATGAAGTATAGTTACATAAATTCAAGAGCCAAATCAATCTGAAAATGGTGAACGTGTCCCTTTAATATTTTCCTATTAATACAGATAAATGATGTCAAATTAGATTTCAAAATCTGTACATTATGTACATAAATAAACCAAGTACTAACGATCTGAACCGCAAAACGAAACCTGGACTCGTATTCTCAAAACGATTTTGTGCTAGGATGTCCTAGAGCCTTAACTTCTAACATTTATTCTAGGATATCCTAGCACTAAGATCGAATAGAGAATACGTGGCCTGAAATCCCAACAACATGCTGACAAATATTTGAAGCAGTTGATGAACTTCTCACATGAGGAAAGATATCAAGTAGCCCTACTTGTGAAGTTTATGACAATGTAACAGTTTTGTCACACTATGTGATATATATGAAAAGGAAACCACATAGCTTTATATGCCTGCATGAATTTAGACAATTCAGATTTGATTTCTCCATAATAGATCAAATCTTTAAAACTTTTCTGATATTTTGTACCATATGAAAAATTCATTGCTTTTGTCATTGTTGATCATGATATTCAATTAAATGATATACTATCTTATAGGCCATTACTACCCTGTTTACCGACCTGGAACAAATATCTTCAATAATCAGAGTAATATCAGTTATGCCAATATTTTTTTTACGGATCATTCAATAACTTTTCCAAGGAAAATAATAAATTTTTCATCCTCAAGCATATCAATTATAAGTTATAGTAGGTGTTTTGCTTGGTGACATTTCTTTTACTAGTTGTATTTTAAACTTGAATGAAATACACAATTTAACTTTGTAAATATACCTGAATGACACACCCAAATTTCTTTATTAAGACTAGGATGTCGACATCAATTCATTAAACAAAGTTCATCTAGGATAACAGGTTAGGAAATATTAGGGTAGAAAAACTCATCTCATGCTCTCATGATTCACATAAAGCTGGGTATCAGTGTTAGGTTACCTATCAATAAACAATCATAATATTTTAGCTGAGAAATCTTCTTGATACTATCTAAAGAGCATGTCCAAATTTTTAATTTCATGGGTTATTTTATATACGCCTACATGTACATGTGGACAGTGAGTACTAATTGTTAATTAATTTATAATGACTCCATATTATTAGTAGAAACCTTAAGAATCTGTAGGAAGCTAATCCTACATAATGATTTTATAAAATTTTGGTGTTGAAAAAATAGTGGCTGAATTTTTTTTCGTTAAAACTTTAAAGTGCACTTATCTCTAGATTTTGGTGTGTAGTTTTCACAAATTTGAGCAAAAATTTCGACCTACAAAAAGAGTGGAATGTCTCTTTAAGCAAAAATTATTTTTTTGACCTACAAAAAAACCATAATGCCACTTTGGCTTTCAACACTAGAAGAGAGTGTCTTAATGGTTGAAAAACATAAAAGACATGAACTATTGGCATGCTTAGTATTAGGGGGTGAGAGCTGACACCGAAGGGTCATCTCTGATTGAATTTAAATTCATCCAGCACCAATCAAGTTTAAATAGATTTTAGAATCAGGTGCTGGATTATATCTAATTATTTATTGACCATTTACAAAATAGATATTTTGACACATTTGTATGTATATTTTTGAATTTTTTCAGGATGGTTCATATTTAGTAGAATTACTGTTATCTAAAGGCTATGAGGTATGTAATATATTAGTAAAATAATTAATAGAAAAATCTAAAACTCATCCAAGATCTCTTCTATACATGATTATTATAAGTTTTGCCCAATTCTATTGTGACATATATTGGGTAAGTCAATGGCAAAACTGTAACTCCAAAATGTCTTATCTGGGATCACTTCAAATTTAAACAGAATCAGTTCAAGTTTGGTCAGAATTTGATCAAAAGTGTAGTACGGATAATTCAGGAAAGCTCAATGGCACAATTCTTGACAGATTTTAACGAAACTTGGTATGAGTGTTCGTTATCACATAAGGATAGACCCTATTGAAAATCAACGAAATCGAAAAATATTTAGTATGAATTATTGCCCTTGTTCGTGCAAACGCGTTCAATTTTTAGCTCGTAAACACTCTAGAAGGCATAATTCTTGAAGGATTTTAACGAAACTTGGTATGAGTGTTCGTAATCACCCAATGATAAACCCTATTGAAAATCAGTGAAATCGAAAAATATTTAGCATGAATTATTGCCCTTGTTCTTGCAAACTCGTTAAATTTTTAGCTCGTAAACACTCTAGAAGGCACAATTCTTGACAGATTTTGACGAAACTTGGTATGAGTGTTCGTTATCACCCAAGGATAGACCCTATTGAAAATCAGCGAAATCGAAAAATATTAAGTATGAATTATTGCCCTTGTTCTTGAAAACGCGTTCAATTTTAGCTCGTAAACACTCTAGAAGGCATAATTTTTGAAGGATTTTAACGAAACTTGGTGTGAGTGTTCGTAATCACCCAAGGATAAACCCTATTGAAAATCAGCGAAATCGAAAAATATTTAGTATGAATTATTGCCCTTGTTCTTGAAAACGCATTCAATTTTTAGCCCATAAACACTCTAGAAGGCACAATTCTTGAAGGATTTTAACGAAACTTGGTATGAGTGTTCGTATTCACCCAAGGATAAACCCTATAGAAAAATCAGGGAAATTGAAAAATATGTAGTATGAATTATTGCCCTTGTTCTTGAAAACGCGTTCAATTTTAGCTCGTAAACATTCTAGTAGGCACAATTCTTGACAGACTCTACAAGTCATAATATTTTTGTTCATAATCACAATTTACAATAGATGTCATTATTTTCCTGAGAAACTATTTTGGTTAACAAATAAGAAAATTTAATTTAATCATTTAACATGTCCCTAACCAGCCACCATACATGTACAGCATCATAAGATACTATAAATAGACCAAGTGGAAAATCCAAGACAGATATCCAATCATAGCTTAGTCATGTGACATCCCAAGATGCAGCAGTTTATCTGATTTCATTTTATAAATGTCATTCAAGAGAAAAGGTTTGCTTAATCATTTCATTTTCACCAATTGTGCTGATACAAAAATGAAATTAAACATGGGTCATAGGGGAAAGGTTTTGTTTCTTGGAAGATTGAATTGAGTTGCTGGATAAGTAGGCTACTATAGGAAAAATATTTAGTATGAATTATTGCCCTTGTTCTTGCAAACTGTTCAAATTTTAGCTCGTAAACACTCTAGAAGGCACAATTCTTGACAGATTTTGACGAAACTTGGTATGAGTGTTCGTATTCACCCAAGGATAAACCCTATAGAAAAATCAGGGAAATCGAAAAATATGTAGTATGAATTATTGCCTATATTTTTTAATATAATCTGCAAATACACAATTCATTACAGACTTATTGAAATCACCCAAGGATAAATCTGATCAAAAATTTTGTACAACACGTAATTTGTATTCTACAAAGCAGAAGTCTAAAACAAATTTGACAACTTGATGAAATTGATCACAATCAAAACTAAACCTTTTGAAATATAAAATACAGGTTATTGCCGTTATTCTTACAAATGTGTTTGATTTTTAACTTGTGATGGCACAGTTTGTGATGGATTTGGGTATAAGTTGAATATTTCCTGGTGTCTATGTTTGCTATTTTCTAACAAATATTCGTATATTACCTTGCCTGGCAAGCTATCTTTGTCACATTGTGTAATGGTTGTTCACCATATTATCATTAATTGTCTTATTTAAATTTGCTTTACATTAGAAAGACAGAATATTATCTTTTTATGTTTAGTAAATGAATTGTCAACATATCCTTATTGAAATTCTCTTTCTGACAATTCCCTATTAAAGATTATAAATTAAATATTGTGTTCGAACTATAATGTCTACATTATCACCAGAAGGTTAATACATAAAAACATGGTCAATTTTAGAAAATCAATGAGTTTTTATATTCAGAAACTATAAAGTATTGATTAGCTATCTGAATGATTATCTCAATATTTTATATTTATTATCTATAGATATTTATAAAACCTATTTAAATTACAAATCTTATTTTTTCTAAAGGTGACTTCACTTCCATGATCCGAGAAAAATAATCAATTTGTTGGCAGAGTTGCTGGGTTTAGTTGTTAGATTATATGTTAATTCAGATGGCTCGTTGATTATTTATTGGTTGTAGTAAAGCAATATAATATATTATTTAATCTATATCATGCAGGTGTAGCATAACTTATTGATGTTTTCATGTTTATTGATGGAAGTTGTGCACATCTGCTGCTTTCCCATTCATTTTTATGATAATTTTTGTCAACAAGCATTCCTTTGGTCCTTTCAACAGTCTTTCTTTCACATTTCTTTCCTTTGATTATAACTAGAATCTACAGTAAAGCTTGGTATAAAACCAAAAAGATAAGGAGGGAAATAAAAAAATT